CTTACGTTCACTACCCATAATATCAAAAGCTTCTATTTAGAATATACTCTCTTGTTACTTAGAAAAGTTTCCGTACTTTGCCCGCAATATGTAACAACTATCTAAAACTATTGTTACATAGAATAGTTTTTGATACTACGGGTAGTGTACAAAACTGCTTTGTTGTTGTTATCTAGAAAAGCTTCTAGACACTATCGACAAAATCAGCTGATTACTTCTAGAAACGTCCCTTATTGCTCGATTTTTGTATGAAGCAAATACTAGACTAAGGTTACGGTAAAACCTTGTTACTAAGGGAAATATCTCTCAAATTTTAAATTATTTGCTTTGTTCATTTGTAGCGTAAAAGCGAATAGATAAGTATGAACCCCACATTTATCTCTTTTAAACCTCTACGTGAGATCCATTGGCAAATCGCTCTGCATGAGAGGCAGCAGAGAAGTGGATCCCTCCACCCCTTCCAGAATATATTTATCTGGTACAAAACAATGCGTTTAAACACTAAGCAGAACTGATACTATTCGTCTCTGTTCAGAAGGTTCGCTTTATAGAGAGGGTACAATGAATCCTCCTCGAGGTATCGCTGTTAGTCACCTTCCCCTCGGGGTTATAGTTGTGTCTCTGAACACTTCCGCCACCCATAATAATTCGCCTGGCTGCATCAGCCATTAGAAAACAACTCGGTATATAACTATCTAGTTAACTAATGGTCTGGGTTTTTAATTATATGATAATATATATCAATGCACGTGTTGTTGTTTTTTACTCTTAATATTTCTGCAAACTGATACTAATAGAGAATTCAGAACTTTATTTATTTCTTATTTTTGTTTAAATATATTATGATCCCGACAAACAGGACATGAGTAAGTGCTAGATTTGTTCTTCAGAAGCTACTCTGATATCACTTTAACTTTCCACTGAAAATCTCCAAATATGGAGAGAATTTGAAGTCTAGAAAGCAACTCAACTATTTATGACTATTTCAGTAACGTTCATATTATCAAGGGAATAAAAAGTTAATATAAAAAGTCCAGTATCTATGAACTTTAATAGTTGTTAATTGTCAATGAATCAGTCAAAGCAGTGAATATCAGACCCTCAGCGGTATATTACAAGTGATGTATAAGTACAATAAAAAAACTAGAAACTGTTTATTTCCCATCAATATAGGTTTTATTATGTTTGTTTCTTCCCAGTCAACCCCAAGTGTACCTTTTCGGGTAGTAGTTGATACAGGGTTACTGTAAATTGAATTTTACTTTTCCTGGTTACAAGAACTTTCTGACTGTAATACGAACTCAATATTTGGCCCTGTTACATTTTGTGTTTGTATATTTATGAACATAATATACATAAAAACAAATATTTATAATAATAACTTAATATCTTATGAAAAAACTGGATTTTAATGTATTTGGAGTTTTATATTAATGTCAATATATTTATTAAATTATACAGATCAGCAATAATAAATTACGCATTAGTAGTTCAGGGTAATATTTCTAATAAATTGTATTGTACAAGTGAATAGGTAGTTGTCCTTTGTAGAGTTTTAAACAAGATCTTACCAATTTCAGCAATTCTATCTACAAAGCTTAATTTGAAAATATATTCAAGTTACTTGTCCATAAGTAAAACTAATATATATCCTCTTAAATGAGGCTGTATATGTATCCTCTTCCCTCAAATGGCAAATTATAAATATTCCTTTTTATCATATAAAACGTGTGTACACTTCCTTCTTGAAAGAAGACATTGCAGAATTTCATGTTATAACTATGTACACATACTCTTCTCTCAAGTAATAACGTATAAGTTTCCTTGTTCAAATACGATGTTGTAAAATTTCATATTTTCAAGTTGTTCAGTGTACACATACCCTTCTTTTAAGTAATATCGGACGTAAGTTTTCTTCTTCAAGATCGTATAAAAACGCCCTTACTTAATACAGCTTAGAATATTTTTTCCTATATGTATTGCGGAATACAAATCATTGTTAATGAAGTTAAAATGTGCAAAGTTTCATGTGAGACAATTTAAACGTCTTCCTTTAAGCATGAACATGTGCCCATTCTTTTCCTCTAAATCGAAACCCAAACAGAACAACTCTAATGGTTGATTCAGAGTAACCATGAGTGGAAATAATTTTTATGTTATCAAAATATTCTGTTTATTAAGAGTTGGAATATCCAAGCGTTTGACTTTTTGGTTTCGATATACATATATGTCAGTAATTTGACACATATAATATACTTCTGTTGGAATACTTGACATTAAACATAATTTGTTGTTTTGTTGTCAGTAATCTGACACATATAATATACTTCTGTTGGAATACTTGAAGATACTTGTGTATATGTGAACGCAATACCTATTACTGATCACCATAAAAAAGTCACGTGTTTCTCTAAAATTTAGTAAAGTTTTGGACTAAAATCATTTTCATTATCATTTGATCAGGATGACGTTTGGATAAAAAAATGATAAGCTAATATTAGAATAAAATTAATTTTTGACTTTTATAAAATAAATGAGGTTGTTATAAAAAAAAAACCAAAAAATAACTGCTGCTTATTTCTGTTTACACACTACTCAGTTTGATTTGTATCATCCTTATCTGTTGTATTTTGTTAACGACTTGATTTTCTTTTTTTCAAGTATGTCGAACTTATCTCTAATTCGAAAGTTGACAAGAAAACTATTTTTTTTTTATAAACATAGGCGTTTTCCGTAAGAAGATATTCAGAGACATATAGACGGTTAACTGTAAGGAAAGGAATATTTTAAGATCAAGATACGGATGTCAAAAAACAAAATAAACCTTATATACCCTTTAAACAGTAAATAAAATTGAAGTTATATATTTCTTTCTACCAGACGTTGCTATTTCTTTACTTTAGCTTTTATAAAAATTGGTTTCTTTTATTCAAACGAGTAGCGTTCCTCGTGAAATCTTTATGATTAACTTCTTCTATTACTAAAGCCGCTAACGAGGCCATTTTTCGATCAATACTTGGGTAGTTTCTAGTATTTCTGTTGCGGATCATTTCAGTCGACTCGTTCGGCAGCCGCAAGGGGTATTGCCAGGCTCATTGGTTTTAACTGCTAACATACAGTATACTCTTTAAAAGAAAAGTCGACTTTTTTGCTGAATCAAGAACATTAAAATTTCAAATTTCAGACATTTTTAATGACTTAGAGACTTGTGTAAGGCTATTAAAGTATCTACCCAATCTGAAAGAAAGAACAAATGAATCGCTTTATTATAATATGAAGTTTGTATCCACAGATTATTAATAGCTGCTATAAAATAGAATGACATAGAGAAGATATAAAATAGTATCACAAACCTTTCTATTTTACTGAAAGAAATGTGAATGTGTTTAATCTAAATTTAAACTGCTTTACTTTGTAATTCGTGGAATAGAGAAAACGATACAATATATTTGTTCTTTTGAGTTTAAATCTGTCATCTGCATTTTCTCTGTAATGAGATAATCAATGTTTCTTAAAAGTTGATGATGATTTCATGATTTTTATTTTTTGTGTTCAGAAAGTGTGAAACAATAAAAAGCGATATTGAAACTCAGAAAAAGATAGTTTGAAATGACAATTATAGAGGTAAAAATACATTTGTTAAGCGTTATCTGACAATTAACCAAGTATTGTTTGTTTCACGCCAGGAAATACAGACACCTATCTGTACATAGCAGTCTCCAATTTTGAACTTATTGACAAGAAAGCGGCTAATCAACAACCAAGCCCGTTGAGTGGGGGGGGGGGGCATGGGGTCGCTGCCTCCGGGCCCGGGATCAAGTTATTCTTTTCTTCAAATCCCACTTAATCCTACTTTTAACAGTAAAGTGAAAACCCTCGTCTTCACTTCCTCATCGTTACATGCTACACTACATGCATTACATAATATACCACTCGGTTGGTCCTACCTGCTCTTCTGCGCTACTGCTCACGCCAGGCGAACGCGTGGGGTAGTGGGTAGGCGAGACAAGTCATAGCGTGATGCAAACATAGAGTGGTGAGCTTAAGTTGACAGTGTTGTTTTAACTCCATCTGCACGCTGCCTGTAAACTGCCGTAAACTCTCCAGCTGATGACCATGCACCACCATCATAAATCAGGGGCGCAGAAAAGAAAAGAAAGGGTCGCGAACGAAATGAACGTGACTAAGAGATAGAAAACTCTTAAAAGTCTAGGCTTCTCAACCAAAGCAAATATGACTTAAACTGACGTTAGTGATGAAATGGGTGATCATACAGCGACAGATCAAGTTTCCGATGTCGATACTGAAAGTTTACATCTGCATGCCTGCCATTAAACACGCAGAATCAAAAAGTACTGTCACAGTGCAGCCAGCAAAACTGGAGGGTGTCACAGAAAATAAACTATTTGATTTCGACGTAGGCCTCCTACAAACTGAAAACCCTGCATCTGTTCAAGCAGATGAGGCAGTTCAGTGAGGTCCTGAAAGTTATTCTACGACGTTTCCTGAAGATGTGGTTGGTGTTCATTTCCTGTTTGCCTACTTCACACGAAATTGACAAATGATGAAAATATACCCTTGATTAGCTTGTTTTGCTTTCCTTGCGGTATTTTCAGCAAGCTTCCAATGCCAAGTCGCTCACTTTAGTTTCATGTTCAGGCTACTACTTTTCACAGAAAAGAAAATAATCTGCATGACAAGATTCCTGAACATCAAAAAGTAGAAGCCACAAAATTTGTTATGTTGAATGGCGTAACTTGTAGAAACGCCTCGAGTGTGATTCTATCGTGGATCAGCAACTCTTGCAGAGCATTCAGAGTCAGGCAGCGCATTGGAAACAAATACTATGCAAAATTCTAGATGTGACATTGTACATGGGATAAAGAGGCTTGGCATTTAGTCATCTCACTTGGGAGAAATCGTAATTTCTTGGGTATTTTGGAGTTGATCAGTTATTATGATCCAATTCTTGAAAAACATTCAAGCAGAGTGAAGGAATCTGAAATCGCATATTAGTGATTGCAAGTATATTACCTGTCCCCAAAAGTCAAAAAGAAGTTATACAGTGTTGTGCTAACATTGTGATAAATTGTATCCTAAACGAACGAGAAACCTCAAAGTACTATTATCTAATTGTTGCAGCAACTCCTAACTCAGAACATGTAAAACAAACTGTTTATTCTGTGCTAGGTACACTTGAATGATGAAAGTAAGAACTATGAGGTTCAAGAAAGATTCCTTGAGTATGTGAATTGCATTGAAAAAAACACGTGAAGTGATTTTAGGACTGATCATTGATGCCCTCAGGAAGCACAGTATACCAATTCCAGACTGCCATGGTAAAGGGTTTGACAAAGGAAACAATATGAGTGGCTCATAGAAAAGCACCCAATCTCATATTTGGAAATGCAACCTACAAGCCACATACTCGCCTTGTGCTAGTCAGAGTGTGGTGTTCATGCCATTTAATGTTGTCCAGAGGTGATTAAGTCTATCCTGCAAAGATGGGAAATTTTCGAAGAAAATGTTGGCTGCTCTCTGCACAGCATGTCGGACACATGTTAGTTTGCGTGGGTAGACAGTTTTAATCGTTTTTCAGTTCACCTTCTTGGGATAAAGAAGGCTATTGAAATCATACAAAATATGAATCTGACAGTAGAGACTTGATTGTATTTAAATGGTATTTAGAATTATGTGGATTAGTTTGAGTGTATCCTCATGGCTTTCACTTGACTTAAAGTCCTCATGGCAATCAACTTCAGGAACACAGTTCTACATTGGATGTAGAGGGTGATAACATAAAAACCCTAATTGAGGTCATCAAACATTTGAGAGAGGGTTGGAATACAGTTTTAGCTGAAATTAACCTTCATGCTGAGAGTCTTAGTATGGCTACTTCAATGATGCTGAGAGAGAAAAGCCACAAAGAAAGGAAGATATTTGCAGATCAGACATCGAAGGAAGAGCTGATAGATAACAATCCAGAAGAGTGTTTCAAGTGTCAAGTTTTCTATGCTCTACTATATTGCATCATCTGAAACATGGCCAGGCATTGTGAGGCAGCTAGGGAACTAGAGGCAACATTTGGTATCATAAGGAGATACACAAACTTGAACAAAGAAAATATGCAGAGACAAACTAGAATACTTTGTGAAAAATACAGTGTTGACATTTCCGAGAATGCAGTGGAAGAAATAGAACACATAAAGCTGACCCTCATAGATAGTCTGGGGCAAACACCTCTGTCACCTTCACAGCCTCCAAGTTGAAACTCGACACCCTGTTTACAAATATTTCCGTTGTGGTTAGGATTTTCTGTACCCTACCAGTCACTATCACACAGCTAGTATGCTCATTCAGTACACTGGCAAACGTAAAATATGTCCTGAGATTAACTATGTGTCAAGTTTGACTGATGAGTTTGGGAATATTGTCATTGGAGGTGCTTCTAGCAAGGAAATTGGATTTTGATGCTGGTCTTGAAATGTTTGTAGCCGTAAAGCCCACTCTAGCTTCATTTAGTATTTTATTTGTATATGGACGATTGATTGATATATTAAGAATGATTAATATGATAAAAATAATAATAATAAATATATTTTGTTACTTTATAGTTTTAATAGATTTTTGTTGATACTTTATTTACTTTTTTATGCCTATACTATGAGCTAAAAATGGCTGCTTCCGTTATGTTATCTTTTTTATGAATCTGTTGCTGTCTTAATTTAGGATTTACTTTTTATTAAGTTCTTAAAAGTTATAAAATAGAGAGAAAGAGGGCCTGGAGAGGTTGTTTGCCCCTGGAGCCGTGCTGGCTCTCGATACCCCTCTCAACAGCACCCACCACCAATTTTGGGACTAGTCTTGTTTTAACAAATGGTGGTAATTGAATGTCACTCTTAATTTAACTTCAAAGTGTGGAGGACATCTTTTCAGCTAGGGAACACGAACTATCGAAGTTAGAGTCACAGTCTGAGCACGTTAATAATTTAACCTCGCCTGGCTCAACTGTAGTACATTTTTAAGTTAGGTTATTTTTCAGGAAATTCTCGAACATCACTCAAACGTACTTTACATTACCAAAATAATCTAAGGAGGAGATAACATGTTAGAAACAACTGCTTAAATAAATTTCATTCAACTTTTTCTAAAAGTAAAAAACAAATATAAATCTTGAGAAAAAATACATTACAGCTGAATGTATGATATTTCAAATCCTAAACCATTTACACAAGTTAGAAATAATATATATATAATTAAATATATAAACAACTATAGAAATTCAAATGTTAAAACCATAATGTTAAGACAGATGAAGTTATTTATTATTTGTAGATTTTTGGTGTTTATATTATTTTTTTGGCACGCCATTTTACTGTTTATTCTATAGAATTTTAGAGAGATATGTATGACTTAAATAATTTTAAAATACCTATTTCAAGTATTAGTGCAAAGAAAAATAAGTGCTGTGCCTAATTTTGAGCTGATAGACTAGAAAGAGCGCATTGCTAGGCCGCCATCACACAAAAGAACGGAAGTTGTCTACCGCCAGAGGGCGAGTGGCTAGGGCAAACGTGTATCTAGCAACACCATCTGACTTTATAAAATACATGTAGTACAGTTAAACATATAAATCAAAACTATAACTATGTATTGAGAATGTTGAAATCTGTATCCAGTCCTACAGAAGCATAATGACACTGTTCACCTGTAGAATCTTGGTAAGACCTTGTAATAATAACAACATCTGTCCATAGAAGCATTGTAAGTCTTTGTAAAACATATGTAACGGAAAACTATAAAGTAACCATTGACATGTTAAAATAAAATATCTAGTCAATAACTAATTTACTGTTTTACAAAGTAAATATCATAGTTATATAGGTAGAGGAATAGCATAAGAATATATTTAATCCATAAAAAACAAACTAGTTAAACCTGTAAGATTGTATGCTAAATTATTGCACGATATACAGAGACGTTATCACGAAAAAACCGTCCTTATCACGACAGATATTTGTAAAAGTATGCCAGGCAAATAAGGGAAGATTCTATTGATTAATGTACCATCCTAGAAATTACCCTACCATTATCCTTGTAATAGGATCGTCTGCCTATAAAACCTAAGTAACAATATCTGCCTATAGAAACACCAACTGCATTTGTAATATGTACACAATAAATAAGTGAAAACTATAAAATTGATGCTGTAATTGTGATAATTGTGACATTATGCAAATTTGATTATTGATTTTAAGACTTTACTTGTTACTATAAAATTGATGTTATGTTGATGTATCTGTATACTTATCATACCAATGTGCCCCTGATGCCCTAGCAACACCCATCTGGTGGCAGAAACTTCTGAGATCTCTGGCAGTAGACAACGTGCCCCTAGAAACATGCGTATGCTCTGATGCCACTTCGTGGACGTAATCGTCTCTGGTGCGTGGCAATATGTCGTCATCGTCTATACTCCTCCCCTATTGCATGAGGTCGACAAACGTGTCGCCCTCTAGTGACGTGCCGCTCAAGAGGTCCGATAACTACTGGTGTTGCCTAACTGCCTTCTCTCTAGTCTATCGCATTTAGATTAGGGACAGCTAGCATTCGAGTAGCTTTGTGCAAAGTTCAAACCAAACTAAACCTATTATCAAATGCATTTTACTTAATTATAAAATTAGAAAAAATACTATAAATTTCCTATATATTTGAAAAACTAGAAACTAGTGAATGTTCAAAAAAGGTTAAGTTTATTCAGTTAGTTATTCTTAAGACTAAAACGTATTTTTTTATTTGGATTGTTTCAGATATTTGCAAGCATAGCCTCAAAAGGACTATTTGTACTAGATGTCTCTGAACGACGAGACAAGAAGGAAGGCAGCTAAGAAACAGCAATCACAGCCAGATCATGGGCTACATTAATTGAATAGATGTATTTGACCGCTGCTCCTATAACGCATCCACGGCCTCAGAATACGAGAGGCGTTTTTTTTGTTGCCACAAGACACTACCATGGGCCCTCAAACTGCAGTCTGGCCTGCTAACCATTAAAATATGCTATGCCCGATAATTTAACAGTTCAGGCAAGTAGATATATGTACAGTAATAACCATCTCAATACAATGTTCGTTTTTATCATTTCGAAAATTCTATCTCGCAATTTAACTCCTACTAACTCTACATAATATTTTAAGTCATTTTGTAGATTATTTCCTTTACACATTGTTCTGAAGTGACACACAGAATCAAGTTATTTCATTTATTTTAAAAATAAACCTTTAAATTTTGCCACCAATATAACTACTGAGATTCTTACCAGAGGAAAGATAGAGTGATTTCCCACCAACAAATAATTTTTTTTTGTTATCTAAATTCATTTATATTCTAAGGTTTTCAAGCTATGAAGTCCGATGCTAATGAACTGAGTGTTGAATTCCAATGCACACTTGGCCAACAGCTAACTTAATTAAGACCACAATAACCAGAAGTTCTGAGGATGTATTTAGTTTGTCACTCATGGATTTTATATTGGAGCAAAGCTACAAAAGGGCTGCCTGCTCTAGCCGTCCCAATTTTGAAACTAATAGACTGGAAGTAAGGTATTCAACCAACAGCACCCCCTCCTCCCACACACACAAACTCACAGGCAACTTTTGTCTGATCGATTAACGGGATTAACCGCCAATGTTGTAACATAACCACATTCCCAAAGTGCGGAAGTGAGAACTATGGACCAATGAATTTTCAGTCTACGTACTAACCACAGGGCAACGATCAGCTTTGGATATATATTTAGATAGTGTGAATAAATCAAACTTAACTTAAAAGACAACAACACACTACGAGCAATTTTTAACCTCACCCCCCTGCAATTGGGGTCGTGTGTGTGTGTGTCTGTCTCTCAGTGTTTCCGCATGCACGCGTATCTCAAAACTAGTAGATCAATGAACATTTCACACAAAATTGAAAGTCAGTACGAGACAGTCCTCACTTAATTTTGTTTCGGTTAATAACACTGTAAAGTGTGATCGGATCTGTACCAACTTTCATGGGCACACTAAGGCTGAGACTTCTCATCGCACTGCAAAAAATTATCCGGATCGTTCATCATTATGTATTCGAAAGTGAACTTTGATGTTACCCAATACAATCTCGGCGCGCAATCTCGAAAAGGAGCGGCGAGGAGAGAGTCTGCAATCTCTCTGATTGTTCTTGTTTTAATTTAAAACAAGATTCACTTCACTCAATATCAATGTCACAACATTAAAAATAAAGCAATGAATATTGTCTATTAATGCTGATGGGTAGCTTCTATGGTTTCAACAACAAAACAAAAATTGACTAGGTTAGTTGGCATGTTACATCTTTAATACGAATGATCTTCTGATGAAACACGGTTATTTAATAGCTGTTGCTTTTCTATCTAATAAGTCACATATGTAAACGTCAGACTGAATGTTTAAGATTGCAAGTAATTAGCCAACTAGAATGTGAGTTCCCAGTTTGCTATTTCCTTTAGAGAAAATTATTATTATGGAAACACTTCTAACTGGCAACTTTTATATGTATATGTATATATATATATATATATTTATTATATGTATATGTAAAAGAGGATGATGTTTTAAATTTTGTAGAAGCATTAACAGTGACCTAAGCCTCTTGCTAATACATTTAAATATATATATGAACATAAGTAATATATTTAGACTATCACCACGTTTTTACTTTTTAGTTTTTAATGCACAAGCTTTCGGCTCAATTATCTTAGCCTTCTACAGGTGCGAAATGTTTAAAATACAACAGGATCTAACGGAACAATTCAAATCACAAGTTGCTTGGCAACAACGAAAAAACAAGAACGTGCCCTTAGTTTCTTTACAAAAACAAAAACAAAAAAAAAGGCCTGAAGCCTAATAAGCTGAAATAAAATAATGTTACAAGGTCAAGAAACATAACAAGCAATATTATTATTGTGGTTTGTTATGTTAGAAGAGAAAATCAACAGTAAAAATAAATAAATTAAGATTAAGAACGAAAAAGGAATAATAAAATTAGGTTACAAAAAATAATAATAAAATTAGGTTACTTTAATAACAGCATTAGCGTCAATGCATTTTTTATTTCTTTAACGAAAGTTATCCGGCAAGTATGAAGGAATTCCATTATTTTGGTTAATGCTTGTAGGAGGACCACAATCATGGTTAATTGCAATGGGTTCTTTAATTTTACGCTTTTTGGTATCACAGCCCTTGGCAATAATTTTTATATTCTTGAGGTCAACGTTGTGGTTTTCCTCTATAGCGTGTAATTCAATGGCTGAAGTATCTACATAAGCATGTTTGATGTCTGTTTGATGTTCTTTCGTCCTAATGTTAACAGGACATCTGGTCTCTCCGATGTATTCCTTTTCACATGATACATTGTAGACATTTTCTTGCCTGATTCGAATTGTTCCGTTATATCCTGTTGTTTATTAAACGTCTCGCACCTGTAGAAGGCTTAGATAATTGAGCCGCAAGTTTATGCATTAGAAAACCTAAAAAAACCCAAAAAACTTGATGATATTCCAAATAAATTACTTAATACAAAGATTTTGTATACTACTGAACCAATGTATTAGTGAATGCGACGTTACGTTAGCAAACCTCATGGAAATCAAGTTTCATTGTTTTTTCTATAAAGATGCACAACTGACTTTAACTGCACATTATTATCATATTAACTTGTGCCGAAAATGATAAGACCGTTTCTCAACTTCTTTCATTTTAGAAATATTAATTCAAATTCCTGTTACCTTGAAAGAAAGCCAGATAGTTTTAACGTGTACGTAAAACGAATAGCTAAAAAAACGTTGTATATTTCGAGGTTAACAGTTTAAAATCCAAATTGATATTTAGACTCGAGGTTTTCAAAGAACCTAAAAGAAAACTGAAAACGGATACATGGAAATTTTATTACTTTGTCGAACTAGGATATTTTATTAAGTGATGATCTTGAAATGTGTTAAAATGGGAAATATATAAGAATCTAGTTTTATTGTGCTAATCTCTTCCTCTCTCTCTCTCTTAACAAAGTTAGTCTAATTAAATTACCATTTGGAATAGTGTTGTGGTTGTTCGATTTTTAGCGCAAAGCTACACAATGGGCTATCTGTGTTCTGCCCACCACAGGTATCGAAACCCGGTTTCTAGCTTTGTAAGTCCTCAGACATTCCGCTGTGCCACTGGGGGAGTATAATATATATGTTTTCTTCTGTACTGAAAATAACAAACTTTCAAGTATTCTAGTACATATACAGTATATCCATGTTATGTTTTGTTCTATTTAATATTTCTTAGAGCAAATGGATATGAATAGTAAAGCTTTTATTACATTTGTTGTAAACAAGCAATGAACAATTTTTACTTCAACCAGGAAAAGTTTAAACGAACTTGTCCACTGTAAATTATAAGGGTAAAACGCTATTAGTCTTTTAAGTTGATGGCTGTATTCTTATATTTCCTACGCTGACGTTTTTCACTGTCATAAGCTTTACGTATGTCTTATCGTCACAGTAAGCGTGTATGGAAAGAGTAAAAAAGAAATATTTTTAGTAAAGAAAGTTATTTTTCCAATTTCTGTTTGTGGGAGGAAAATCCTAGTTGTTTCCTTTCCTTTCAAAATCTAGATATTGCATTAGCTACTAAGTCAATGGCATTATCTTATAGTATATTTACTTAGAAGCTCTTTGAAAACTGAGTTATTTTTGCATCTAGCGTAAAGTTTAAATTTATTCGTATATTACTATAAAGTATAATATCTACAATAACGTAGCTATAATAATTAATTACCAGAAGATAAATTAAAATTTTCTTCTCTTTTTTCTGAACTGAACAACTAAAGCTTATGTAGGACATTCCTGTACCTTATAAATATTTAGAGAATTAAACAACTTAAAGCATGACATTTTTATTAGTTCCTACAATAAGTCATGCAATAATCTTTATGTGATATTATAGAAAGCTGTTTATTTTAATAGTAATTACATTTCATTTACTTAATCTAGTTTACGCCGTTACAGTTATTGTTCTTTAAAATTAATCAGTTGAATAGTACCTAGACTATTACTATGTCTGTTGTATCCCAGCTAGCCTGATAAGTCCTGGTACTAGGCTAAATACCTTCTTGACACCGGATATGGCAGATATAATATGGTCGACACATTCGTATTTGCTTTCACTGGTAAGTTCTTAAAATTACTAATATGTATTTGTCCCGTTGATAATACTTTGGTAGCTTGATCTGCTTCAGGAACAAGACTAGCTTAGTGGTTTGCTAGTCCTTTTGAAAGATTGTTAAACTGATACTAAATTTACGAACAATGATTTATAATTATTGTGAATTGGTTTCATTTTGGGGAACACATTACATGTTTTCACAGATCAATGTTCTGTCGAATCGTATAGCATGCTCCCAAAAATAGAACTAGTTTTCATTATGCTTATAAATCGTTGTTTGTCAATTTACTATTATATTAACATAATGTGCTTCCATATTTAAGTAGCTAGTAAATTTAACTCAATTAAAAATAACAATAATTTGTAAATTGATAATAATTACACTTTACTTACTTAATCTAGTCTATACCATTACATTTGTTGTTCACTCAAATGATGATTAAATAGCGCCTAGACCACTAGTTTGTTGTATATCCGCTGGCCTGATGAACCATGGTATTAGGAGAAAAGCATCGCCGGCATTGAATATGGCAGATAGAGTATTGTTGTCATATCATTATGGGTTCTTCTTTGCTTTCATTCATTACTTTTTAAAGACAAACGCTTTTCAAAACTTTATCAAATCTAATATCTATATCCTCTTACACGTTCTGTATTAAACCATGGTAGAATTATATAATAGCTTGTGAACTTATATAGTCTAATTAGCAGCTGCTTAATCAAAGTTTTCAAATTATTCCAAGTGTAAATATCCCATTTACAACAGCATGGCTAGCAAGACAAAGTGTATAATATTTAGTCCTACAGTAAACAACGTGTTATTTTCGCTTTGTTTACAATTCATTATAGCTTTTACACTGTAA